TTATATATATATATATATATATATATATATATATAAAAGCATGAGAGAAAGTCATGTTATTGACGTTACAACGTCAATTTGTTAGAATTAATTAACATAATATTTCGTAACAAAATATATCCATGTCCACTGTGCTTTTACCACCGTAAAAGTAAGCTTCCTAACCATTCAGCACATGAGGTGCTCAACCAGTACTCTGAATTCAGATACACAGGATGTTAACAATAATGGTGAACACCTTAATTTAATTAACTTTTTTTGGGGGGGGGGCGAACCTATCTTTTAATCTTTTATAATGTTACCAGTGTTGCATTTCAGATCATCCAGGATTTTGTATACATTATACTATAGTGGTATACATTAGTTCGGAACGATCCAGCGGTAAATTGCTAATTGGTAGTTAATTAAGCAGCCGAGGAAACTGCTGCTAATACAGGGCACTAGTAACAAAATATGACTCAAAAATAGACGATTAAGATATAAGCAGCTGTCAAGTTAAAAATGTTTTTTGTTTTTACTTTTTAAATATTATTTTAATTTGACATATTTGTTTGTCATACCAGAGAAAGTAAACAAGTATGTTTTCAACATACTCTGCAATTATTGTTCGTTGATGTACACCACAAAAAAAACAACAACAAAAAACACAACTCCTCAAATTATTTTAGTAGTCTTATAAACAGTTTACCTGATTTTGATTTAAGACCAATTTTGCTTATTTCTTACGTTTCTTGCTGTTAATAAGTACAGTTTTTCTGTTCACTTAACTGCAGTCTATTTCAATGTCTTATTGATAAAATAATGGTTACAGCCTAGCATGCAAATCTGCTTATTTGTGAAAAATATGATTTTAGGGTTACTATTTTGAAAGTTATGTTAAACAAATAGTTTGTACTTCAAAGAAAGGTCATATCTTGCATACAAATGATCATAAAAACGACAGTTTTAAATGAAATGTTTTGCAGGAAAATAATTACGATATTTAAAAGCTAATTTATGAAAACATAATTCATAAAACATAATTTTTGATAAGGATATGTAAAATTACGAATAAAATTCTGAATACGGAATGAATGGATAGTGAAATAGGACCAAAAATGCATCGCTCGTTTCATAACGTGTACTTTAACCAAATTTTATTATCTTATCCTCTTAAAATACCATTAATTTTCCTAGTATAATTACTGTCATACCAAAAAAAGCAAAAACATCCTAATTGCTGTCATGAGCAAATAGGTATTTAATAAATTGCGTCATTTATAAATTCAGTTGCATATATATATATATATATATATATATAATACAAATGGTTAAGCCTAATTACGTCTTAACTCACCTCTTTTTGTCTGATTTACCCAGAGCTACAAGACATACTCTGGTGTTTCAATGGAACACTAAACATTTTTTGACTACGCCTATATATGAAAAACTTAAATAACGGGCTAATAGATTGTAAAGGTAATAAAATTAAATAATAGTATTGATTTTTTCTGGGATTCTAAAAATAATTATACCTAAAACAATGGTTGGGTCAAAACACTATTTCAACTTGAACTGAAACATTAAAGGAACTGGTAAAGTCTTGCTTTAATATTTTCACAATTCTAAATGTTTGTGATAAACCGTTGGTATGATTAGTCTTAAAAGGTGACCAGATATTAGAGAGATATAACTGAAAGCCGTTGCTTTGGTGACAGAACCTTTAAATTCAGTGTTCTAGTAAGTACAAAAGGAAAAATATCTATGTTTCAGGATTTAGTTTATCCCGATGACTTGTGTAATACGTTTGTTTAAAAGAATCAATAACATCCTCACATTCTCTAACTGTAATGCTCAGATATAATATCCAACATCACTGATCTGCATCTATTTATAACGACAGATAACTAATTAGGAGTGTGTTTTTCTCGAGATATTGCAATTAGAAGAAGTAATTAAGCGATCGCTATTTAAAACAGAATATATATATATATATAGTTAAATATTCTTAAATATAATTTTGTATCTTAGGTTGGCATAGTTTACCATAAAATTGTTAGAAGGCTACATAACGTGTCTCACATTTTACAATATAACTGTACTGAAAATATGGTTACAAATATATTGAACTAACTTATTATCATATAATCAGCACATTCACTGGCAGCAAGCATACTACGAAAATCATCGGTATAAGCCTAATCAATACTTTTATATATGCTAAGAAATTAAAAGTTTTCGTATTAGCTTATTGCACACCGTATAGTACAACGTTTTTGTAAAATATATGTTTTTTAATATAATTATCTAATTCAGGACGCATCTTGTGAATCCCCAAACTTTCCTTCGTGCGTGGCATTTCTTTGCTACACGCGTTCCCCAAGATGTTGAAGTGTTTAGAAGCGACATTTGTCTCACAGTCCCGTAAGTAGTGGCGAAGAATGGAAGACTGATTATATGCTGTGTTTTGCGCATGCTCTTTAATACTTGAGCTCAGACAAAGTATTGTAGAGCCAAAGTTACAGTCATATATAAATTTATATTATTCATTATTTTTTAAAGTTTTCTGACGATTCATAATAAGAAACAAACATTAGATATTTAGCAACAATTCAATTAATCAACTAGTCCATTCAATTTTAGGCATTAACTTAAGAATTACCAGGATTTCTTTGATACGTAGACTTCTTTCATCATTGCATTTAGACAGGATCTTAAACGTATTATTATGTCAGTATTGAACAACGTGATCTTTTACACAAGATTTATTTTCACTTAACAAATTTATATGTTATTTTACACGTGTTTTAGTGGTAGACTCAATATACTTAGAATTGCATCTAGGATATTTAAATTCATAAACAACATTTGATGTTATTAAAGATGATATTCTGCCCTCAAATCTGACCGAAGTTTACATTCTGGGTCAATAAAAGAATATCCAAGAATAAGACCATCATGTTGTGATCCTGGTATTTTGTATGGTATTCCTAAAATTCTCAAAGGAGGTTGTCCTATCAGACCTATTGTCTCAAACATTAAAACATATAATCACGAACTTGCTTATTTTTTGTGCAGTATTTCGAAGAAATGGAAACATAATAAGTATATTATGAGAGACAGTTTCGTCATTTCTAATTAAATGTAAAAGTTAAAGTTTGATAGAAATTTATATAGTGTATTTTGATGTCGAATTTCCATATACCAACATCCTTTAGAAGAAACGGTACAACTAGCATTTAAAATAATTCATCATGAAGATAATGAAATTGGAGCACCGAAGTTTGTTTTAAGGAACTTTTGAACCATTGCTAATCATTGTTTAATATTTTACGTTTTCATGAATAACAATGGCTTAAGAAATGTCCCAGATCTATATTGAGTCTATGACTAAAACACGTGTACAAGAACATGTAAGTTTGTTTTAAGGAACTTTTGAACCATTGCTAATCATTGTTTAATATTTTACGTTTTCATGAATAACAATGGCTTAAGAAATGTCCTAGATCTATATTGAGTCTATGACTAAAACACGTGTACAAGAACATGTAAGTTTGTTAAGTGACAACATATTTAGGGTAAAAGACCACGCGATTCGTGACTGCAACATAGTAATAGACTCGTCCACGTTTAAGATTCTGTTTAAATGTAATGATGAGAGACGTCTACGTATCAAAGAAACAGTGTTATTCGTAAGTTAAGGCCTGTTATAGTTCATCAGTCGACTTATTGCTAAATATCGAACTGGTTTGTAATTCAGAAAAATAAACTGCTGATAGTGAACCTTAAATGTCGAGTACTTATAAAGATAACCGTACACTCAAGAGGGACAGTTTCTACTGTCAAGCAAAATCAAAACTCTTGCAGTGAAAACACTAAATCATTTTCATTCTACTACTCCGCATTTTGTCAGCAAATATTGTATTCAGTTTTGTTTGCATTTCTCTCCATATACACTTAACTCAAACCGTATACAGAAGCTTGTCACTGCAAAATAGTACAAAACTTTACATACACACCGCAAGCATCTCTTTACAGTATTCAACAAACGTTCGATAGAATACGAGTTGTTGAATCTTGTCGTGAATATGCATGTGGAAGTACTTAGATTACTTTAATGAATGTTTACTGCCTTGAACCTATTAATGAAGAAAACAAAAAAAATGAATTTTTGGTTGAGAGGAGGTTGATTATGGGCTTCAACAGCGTGCTCTAATTGTGAAAACTTCACACAGAATATTTTTGTTGTTGTTATTTTATATGGTCCATATTAAGAAATTACTATTCTAGTTCCATATGAAATTAACTTTATCTATAACGTGAATCTTTTATTAATGTTTTGAATTATTTAAAGTCCAGTGCTGAACTTCCTACATAAACGTACAATTAAAAACATAATATTTTGCTATAAATTTGTTTGAAGAAGTTTTTGATGTATATTGCTATACATTAAAATATTATCTAAATTTATCTTTGTTTAATCCATTTGTACTTACGTTTTAACTCAGTCGGTGGTTTTGGTAATTCTGTACTTCCTGAACCTGGAGGTTTAGGTTTTCGCGATGGGGTAAGAGGAATAGCACTCTCTCCATTTGGACGAATAAGCGCCCCTAAAGAGGTCAGACACGAGAGACACTTTCCCATTATCACTTAGACGAATATATATGATGCAGAACAAACCTGTCAAACAAACTTCAATGTTGGCGTTGAGTGATAGTCGAACGTACGTTGAGACAGCGATTTAAGGCTATTTTGACGTTTCAACAAACACAGTCTCCTTACATTCGCTGAAAGCTGCTTCTTTTAGTAGACTTAATAGGAGTGAAATTACAGATTGACTAATTGTATCTCTCTCTCTCTCCTCTGGTGATGTTTAATTCCTGGCAAGTTTTTCTCGTGTATATTTCTGCTGCAGCCAACGTCGAATATGAGCGAACTGTGACGCAGCTTGCATTACGTTCTCCTTTCTATCCGGGCTGTCCCGAATAGTAGCAAACTACCCCTCTCAGAGGCAACATAGCCTTGTCAGTATACAAAGGTGTTACGTAAAAGGTATCTCCTTTTAGGCGTGTATCATGTGACGCCATAGCTCGAGAAGTTGAGCTGGTTTTGTAATATCTCTGATGTTGTGACACTTAACGGAATTATAAATATTCTATACGAAAATTGTTCGTTAAACAACAAAAACAAACATATTTCAGTTTATTGATATCTTAGTTTTGCTTAAAACAGATTTCTATAAATGTATGACTAGTCAGAATTAATCTGTCTATTTGGCAGATACTTATAAATGGTTGGCTAGACAGAATAAACTCTTTACTTGGGAGATTTCTATAAATTTTCGACTAGTCCGAATTAATCTCTATTTGGCAGATTTTTATACATATTTTTGTATCCTGTGCATAATTTCGAAGATTGTGTACAAAAATAAAAGCAAAATTTAGTAAAAAATAAAACTATTTAACAACTGTACTTAGTTTAGTAAGTTTGCAATTTTTTCTTCGATTAAACAAATATGTTAAATATTATTTATGCAACGATAATTGTAATATAAACAACAAATAAACGGACCTGCGGTGGTCTCGTCAGTTCAGTATTATTATAAAATATAAGATTGCTTACTGCATGTAGAAAGTGTGATGTGACCATCCTTATGCAACAAAGAACAGTATTATTTCAGAAAAGCAAGTGAAAATGTTACTTTATTTAGATAAATAATAGAAGCATAAATCAGTTTTATAACTCTTACCTTAGATGAATCAGTGTCAGTAAGAACTGCCACTTTGACGTGGTGGAGCATATTTCGTGTTTCTGTGACCCGGAAGAAGAATGATGCAAGTTTGTGAAAACCGTGTGGAAACCATTTCGCCGACAATCTTCTGACGACGAAAGCACCAACTAGATTTGAAACCTAGAATATCCATACTATGTATGAGGTAGCGAACGCAGCCCAAGTTGCCCAGGAAATGAAGAGATACAACATCCAGCTGCTGGACATTTGTGAGAGCAGATGGAATGGATCTGGGTTATCTACACTTCCAAGTGAAGAAAAGTTAATATACTCAGGCCACGAAAATGAGGACCGTCACTACACAGAAAGAGTGGAAATTATAATGTCAGTTACTGCTGCAAAAGCCTTGATAGAGTTGGAACCCGAATCATCAGGAATCATCACTACAAAGTTTAACACCAATAGTAGGTCACTATTATCCAGTGTTACATACCTATAAACAACGTAAAAGATAAGACCAAGCTGGGTTTCTATGAAAGGCTTCCGAGAGTTCTAGACAACAACATCAAAAGAAACATCAAAATTCATATGGGAGACGTAAACACCCAGGTAGGCCCAGATAACACCAGGAAAGAACGTGTCTGGGCATCCACTGCCTTAAAGGCTTGAATAGAAAATGAGATCTCTTCACAGACTTCTTCAAAGACTTCGTCATAGAAGGCAGTGTGTGCCCTCACAAGGACATTCACAAGGCAACATGGTTCTCAGTAAGTGGAAGAACAAAAACCAGATCGACCATATTGGTATTGCAAAAAAATGGAGAAGAAGTTTACTAGATGTCTGAGTGAAGAGAGATACTGATGTTAGGTCTAACCATCAACTCGTACTTGTAATACTGAAAATCAAGCTGAGAGTCTTCAAAAACACATTCAACAAACCTCGCCACAAGTTTAACATCTAGAGACTCAAAGCACAGGCAGAGAGGTAAACGTTTGCCATCTTCTTACAAAATATATTTGTTGCCATTAGGGCATTAGTAGATGAGACTGTACTTTACTGAAGGATGCATAGAATGAGACATGCACAGAGAATTTGGACAAAAGGAAAAAACAACATAAAAAATATCTGTCAAATGAAACATGGACATTGATAGAGCAAAGGAAACAACTCAAGCAAGAAAGCTATGGCAATATCACAAAAAATAGCTCCAAACGAAGTATTATGTTGTGCTAGAAAAGACAAGAGAGACTTCTGTGACGACTTTGCAACAAACGTAGAGGAAGCTGCAGAAAATAGAGACATGAAAAACTTTACTAGATTACCAGAACTCTGTCAGGAAAAAATAAGACTCAGTAGAAGACAAAGAACAAGGCAGGAAAGATGATCTCAAAGGAGGCAGTACAGAGGTCAAGATAAATCGAGTATTTTCAGGAGATATTCATCTGACCACCACCAATTGAAAAGTTCAATATCCCACCAGCAAGATACATTCTGAATGTTGTCATCAGCTTACCAACAAAAGTAGAAATTCATAATGCGTTGAAGCAACTAAAAAGTGGAAAAGCTGCTGGACCTGATGGCTTACTCCCAGAAGCGTTGAAGACCGATCTTGATACCACGGTGGAGATGTTCCACAAGTTTCTACAGAAAATCTGAGAAAAGAGGCAGGTGTCATTTGAGTGGAAAACCAGTTCCATAGTCAAACTACCCAAGAAAGAAAACCTAGGACAGTCCAACAACAGGTGTGGCATTGTCTTTAACACCTTCAGACTTAAAATGTGCCCGAAGAAGCTGGGTTCAGATAAGACAAGTCTTGCAATGACCAAATAGCTATGCTAAAGATCATCATTGAGCAGTCATCCCTGTATCTGAACTTTGTCGACATCGAAAAAGTTTTTGACGGTGTCAGTACTATGGTGTGCCATCAGTGTTTTGCAACCTCAATCAGCAGCTGTAAGAAGTCATAACTTGCCGGGTTATTCATAACAGAAAACTAACTGAGGCCTTCTAAATTCAGAGTGAAACAAGACTGCTTGCTATCACCAATGATTTTCTTGTTGGTGAGTGATTGGATCATGTGTGAAACAGTGAAGCAAGGCAGAACTCACACAGCTCCTTGAAGACCTAAAAGTCGCAGATGACCTGTGTCTCATGTCCCATAATAAGCAGTATATCCAAATAAAAACAGACAGGCTAACCAGGAAAGCAGCAAAGTTAGGACTTGCGGTCCACATAAAAAAACAGAAGTAATGAAAATTCACAATAAGCAGGAGCGGCCAACACACTGAATCGGAATAACCTAAAGAAGTGAAAATTTTTCTTACCTGGGCCCATATGGTGTTTGCCACCAGAGGCACACAGGAAGATATAAGAACCAGAACAAAGAAGGCTGGCCATACTTTCAACACTTTAAAGTCAGTTTGGAACTCAAAGATTTTCTCCATAAGAAACAAATTAATGATTCAATAGTATCATCAAGTCAGTCCTGCTATATGGCTCTGAAATATTGAGAGTAAACACAACCACATTCAACAAATTCCAGATATATACAGAACATCTTGCGAATTAAGTAGCCAGAAACCACCAGTAACAGTAATTTGTGGCAGAGAACCAATAAAGATCCACTCATCACCAAGACTGTCACAAGAAAATGGGACTTGATGGGACATACCCTCAGAAAATCAGTGGACAATATCACCAGACAAGCTCACGAGTGGAAACGTCATGGCAAAAGAAATGTGGGACGTCGAAGAAAGACTTGGAGAAGATTGGTTGATGAGAAAATGAGGATGATGGGAATGACCATGAGTGAGATGAAGAAGGTTGCCCAGAACCATGTTGTTGAAGCCAATTTAAAAATATGTACTTTGAGTACGTAAATTGCTTGTTTGTTGAATTCTGCACAAATCTACTTGAGGGTTACTTGCGCTAGCCATCCCTAATTTTGAAGTGATAGACTAGAGAGAAGGTAAACTCTTGAGCTGCTATTTACCAACGAAAAGTGGGATTGATGTCACATCATAGCGCCCCACGGCTGAAAGAGTGAGCTTGTGTGATGAAGGGATTCGAACCAGCGACACGTAAATTGCGAGTTGAGTGCCTTTCCACAAGGAAGTGCATAAAAAAATTCATCTTGATTTGTAAGTGGAAGAAAATGTTTTAGAACGATGAACAGCAGAATGAAAATATTTCTAATTTTTGGGCGTAGCATTGTTTCTCTAATACTGTTAAGAGAGAGCTGCGATACGATATAGAATTATACATTTCACGAGAAACGATGAAACGAATTGTAAAATTCGCTGTTACTTTTATTCCCTTCGCAGTTTGTATGTGTATAGATATTTGTTTGTTTTGAAGTTAGGCACAAAGCTACAAAATGGGATATATGTGCTCTTCCCACCACGGGTATCGAAACCCGGTTTCTAGCAGTGTAAGTCCGCAGACATACCGCTGTGCCACGTGGGGGGGGGGGGGGGCGGTATAGATATTTACCTCCTGAAAGTAGTTAATAGATTTCTTTCTTCCAGCTCAGAACTTCACCAAGTGAGGACAAAATTTCGATCTATTCTTGTGCTCATAAAAACATGCTTTAGATAACATATTGAAATGGTATCCGCAAACAAGAGTCAATACAAATTTAAGTGTTTCAGATGTTTATCGCCACCTATTAGCTTCCAAGCAGATTTATTTTCATTACCTCTACAATGAAGTTTTTGAGAATTCAGTAGTCTTCTAGGTTGTATCAGTCTAAACTGCATAATATATATGTGTATTATACCAGACAAGAGCTTATGAAAACTTACATTATGATGCAATTATTAACAACAAAAACACTTGTCGGACAAGCTTTAAAAACTTGCTTTCCACAGCAGTGAAACTTGTTAGTTTTCAGTAAACATAATTCTCAGCACAGCGAACTGTTTCAGGCTTTGTTTTGCAATCCATTATGTATCATGCTTGTGTGACACATGATAATGGAACAAACAAATGGACTCGTTTCAGATAGAACTTTATGCTTCAGCACAAAATTTACACTTGAACTATTTGGAGTACACACACACAGGGCGTGTCGACAACTTGTTGGTATTACAACAGCCACATGAATAATTTCACCTGATCCAAGGAATGCAGTTTTATAAACACCAATTTTAATTTGAACAAAGGAACCAGCTTCGCTTAATTAATGTAGAGTTTAAATTCATATCGTGATTCTAACACTGAAATAAACATTTTTAAGGA